AAGAACATTTACAGGTAAATGCACCCAGCCGTAAATGACCTATGTACAAGTTACAGCGCTGCGTGTAAAGTCTGCATGGTGTATAAAGGCAAGAAGGTGGAAATGACTCAATACTAATCAGTAAGGAGCTGGTTAAGAAAGAGTCATTGGAGGCCGGCAGGGGGCGCTGGTTAGGGGCGGCAGTGGTTAGGGGCGCTGGACCCCCAGCGCTGGACTCCCACGTGGCAGTGGTTAGGGGCGCTGGACTCCCACATGGCCAACCACAGTTCAAGTCCCAGACCTAGCGGCTTGCTTTCTCACTTTCTCTCTCTCTCTCTCCCCCTCTCTGGTCAAATTAAAATAAAGTAAATAAATAAAGTTAAATAAAATAATTTTAAAAGAAAGAGTATTGTTTTTCTAATGCCATTAAATATTATGGACTTCTGAAAAACAAAAACAAAACCAAGACATTCTTTTTATTTTTTTTAAGAGAGATTTTTTGCCATAGGGCACATGCACTCACCAGAAAGACAGAGAGACAGAGAGAAAGAAAGCGAGAAATCACCCCCCAGGGGGGATGGCCACGCTGCAATCCCTTCTCCTCCATTCTCCTCCTGGGATCTTAGGCACGCACGCACACGCGCCTGGCATGAGTTTTAAGCAACCAGGGCCAGGACCTGAATGCAGCCGACTATGTGGGAGCCCAGCGACATAGCCATTACAGCATCTGCTGGTCCCAGCTGGGACAACGTCAAGGTCCAAGGAAAAAGAAAACAAAAACATAAGCAAAGCCAAAGTGCAGAATGGTGTGTATAACGTGTTAGCTTTCATGGGGAAAAAAGTGAGACTACATTTTCGCTTGTCCTTGCAGATTGTGGAAGGACACACGGATTACTGGTGACCAGAGGAGAGCTCTCGTTTCAAACCCTTTGTACCCATTGAACTGCGAGGGATGAGTGCAGTAGTTTTTGTTTTTAATTGCTACAGGGTGTGTGCTCTTGCCAGAAAGAGATGAGAGACAGAGAGAGAGGGAGGGAGAGGAAATCACCCCTCAGCAGGGCGTGACCATGCCATAATCCCT